GTCAACACCATTTTTTGATGGTATGTTTTTTTTTTTCCAGTGTATAATTTTGGCTTCTTTGTCAAAAATCGGGTGTTCATAAATATTTGGACTAATATCAGGGTTTTAGGTTTGATAGGTATTATTGGTCCAGCTGTCTGTTTTTATGCCAATACCAAGCTGTTTTCATTATTATAATTATAATAGAGCTTGAAGTCAGGGATTGTGATGCCTACCAATGTTTCTTTATTATGCAGGATTGTTTTGTCTCTCCTGGGTTTTATGTTTTTCTATATTAAGTTGAGTATTTTTCTTTTGTGGTGAAGAATTACGCTGGGATTTTCATGGGATCACACTGAATCTGTAGATTAATTTTGGTAAGATTGCCACTTTTATTATGTTGATATTACATATCCATGAATATGAGGGATCTTTCCATTGGATGATGTCTTTCTTACATGATTTAATCACTTGCTTTGTTTGAGTTACCCCAAGATAGTTTATGTCATTTGTGGCTATTGTAAAAAGTGATGTTTCTCTGATTTCTCTCTCAGCCCAATTATCATTTGTGTTTAGGAGGGTTACTGATTGTTTTGAGTTAATTTTGTATCCTGCTACATTGCTAAGGTTTTTTTCCAGTTGTAGGATTTCCCTGGTAGAAATTCTGGGGTTATTTATGTAAAACGTATATTATCATATCATCTGCAAAAAGAGAAAGTTTGATTTCTTCCTTTCCAATTTATATCCCCTGATCTCCTTTGTTGTTTTAATGCTATGGCAACAACTTCAAGTTCTATATGGAATAGATGTGGAGAGATTGGACAGCCTAGTCTTGTTCCTGATTTTAGTGGAATCACTTTGAGTTTCTATCTACTTAATTTGATATTGACTGTTGGCTTGCTTTATATTGTCTTATTATGTTTGGATATGTTCCTTGTATTCCTCAGTGCTCCAAGATCTTTATCAACAAGGGGTGTTGGATTTTGTTGATGGCTTTTTAAGCATCTAATGAGATGATCATGGGCTTTGTGTATGTGTGTGTGTGTGTGTGTGTGTGTGTTCAGTATGTTTATATGGTGGATCACATTGACAGATCTTTTATATGTTGAACCATTCCTGCATCTCAGGGTTGAAACCTACTTGATCATGGTAGCTGATTTTTTGATGTGTTCTTGGATTCAGTGTTCTAGTAATTTATTGAGTATTTTCACACCAATGTTCATGAGGGAGATCGGCCTTTAATTCTCTTTCTTAGTTGCATCTTTGTGTGATTTGGGTATCAGGTAGCTTTAGCCACATAAAAAGAGTTCGGCAGTGTTCATCTGTTTCTATTGTGTGGAACAGTTTGAGGAGTATTGGTATTAGTTCTTCTTTGAAATCCTGGTAGAATTCTGTGCTGAAACCATAGGGCTCTGGTCTTTTTTTGGTTGGGAAACTTTTGATGACTGCTTCTACTTCCTCATGGGTTATATAGGTCTATTTAAATTGTTTATCTGGTCTTGATTACTTTTAGTATATGGTACCTATCAAAATATTGCCTATTTTATATTTTCCGATTTTTTTTTCGGAATACAGGTTTTTTAATTATGAAATAATGATTCTCTGGATTTCCTTAGTGTCCATTTTTATATCCCTCTTTTCATTTCTGATGTTGTTGATTTGATATTCTCTGCCTTTTGGGAAAAGGTTTTTCTATCTTGTTGGTTTTCTTGAAGAACCAACTTTATGTCTCATTGATTCTTTGTATTATTTTCTTTGTTTCCATCTTATTTTTTCTACCCCTATACTTGATTTTTTCTGTCCTCCTGGGTGAAATTGCTTCTTTTTGTTCCAGAACTTTCAGCTATGCTTTAATTTGCGAGTGTGAGATTTCTCTAGGTTTTCTATTACGCACTTAGTGTTATGAACTTTCCACTAAGTGTGCTTTTCCTAGTCCCCATAAGTTTGTGTAGTTTGTGCATTCGTTTTTGGTGAATACTAGGAAGTCTTTAAGTTCTTTGTTTCTTCCTTGACCTAGTGGTGATTTAGCTGAGCATTGTACGATTTTTATAGCTTGTGTGCTTTCTGCAATTAGTGTTGCTATTGATTTCCAACTTTAAGCCAAGGTGATCAGATAAGATACAGGGGGTTATGGCATTTTTGTATATGTTGAGGTTTGCCTTGTTTGCCTTGTTACTGAGCATGGGGTCAACTTTAGAGAAAGGTTCACAAGGTGTTGAGAAGAAGGTGTATTATTTCGTGGTTTTGGTTGTGTGTGTGTACATGTGTGCGTGTATGTATGTTTGTATGTATGTATGTTAAGTATTTGATTCATAACATCTGCTATTTCCCTTATTTTTCTGCTAAGTTTCTGTATGGCAGACCTACCTATCTGTTGCTGAAAGTGGGGTGATGAAATCTCCCACTCTTATGTGTGGGGTTTGATCTGTTCTCTCTAAGATTTTGTATTCTTTCTTTTACAAATGTGGGTGTCCTTGTATTTGAGGCATAAATGTTGAGAATTGAAACTTTATCCTGATGAATTCTTCTTCCTTCATTTCTTTTGATAATGGTTACTTTGAAATATGTTTTGTTAGATATTAAGATAGCTACACCAGATCATTTCCTGTGTCCATTTAAAAGATTGGAAAGTGGGCTGGAAAGGTGGCTCAGAGGTTAAGAGCACTGGCTAGTCCTCCAGAGGTCCTGAGTTCAATTCCCAGTGACCTCATGGTGGCTTACAACTATCTGTAATGAGGATCTGTTGCCCTCTCCTGGTGTGCAGGCAGAACAATGTATACACAGTAAATAAATAACTCTTTTAAAAAAAATTGGAAAGTCTTTTCTCAACTCCGTTATTCTAAGGTAATGTCTGTCTTTGAAGTTGAGGGTATTTCTTTATGCAGCAGAAGGTTGAATCCTGTATTTGTTTCCATTCTTTTAGCTTATATCTTTTTATAGGTGAATTGAGACCTCTAATATTAAGAGATATAAATGACCAGTGATTGTTGGTTTTTGCTGGTGGTGATATAGTGTGTGTGTGTCCCTTCTTTGGGATTTACTGATATGAGAATATCCTTTCCCTGTGTTTTTGTTAGTTCAGCTCGCTTCTTTAGGTTGGGGTTTTCCTTTCGGTACATTCTGTAGGGATGGATTTGTGGATCAATATTGTTGAAATCTGTTTGATTTTCATGAAATTTCTTTTTTTTCCATCTTTTATGATTGTGTGCTTTTCTCCATCTATGGTGATTTTATGCTTGTTGGGTATAGTAGTATGGACTTGTGTCTGTGGTCTTTTAGTGTCTGCTATACATGTGCCCAGGACATTTTGGTAGTCAGAGTTTCCATTGGGAAGTCAGGTATAAGAATGATAGATCTCCCTTTATGTGTTACTTGGCTTTTTTTTTTTTGGAGGCTCTTAATAATCTTTCTTTGTCCTGTATGTTTAGCATTTTAATTATTATGTGGAGGGGATTGTTTTTTGTCCAGTCTATTTGATGTTCCATAAGTATCTTGTAATTTCATAGGCATGTCCTTTAGGTTGGAAAAACTTTCTTCTATGATTTTATTGAGTATGTTTTCTGTACCTTTGAGCTGGAATTCTTCTCTTCTTCAATCATTATTATGTTTAGACTTGTACTTTTCATGGTGTCCCAGTTTTCCTGAATATTCTGTGTTACGTATTTTTTGGCTTTAATGTTTTCTTTGATCAATGACTCTATTTCCTTTATTGTATCTTTAGCACCTGAGTTTCTCTCTTACATCTATTTTATTCTTGTGTCTGTAGTTTCTGTTCATTTACCCAATTTTTTTATTTTTAGAATTCCCTTGATTTGTGTTTTCTTTATTGCCTCTTTCAATTTTTTGAGTATTGAACCATTTGCTTTACCTATTTGATTGGGTTTTTTTCTTGGCTTTTCTTTAAGAAGTTTATTGATTCCTTCCATTTTTTTGTTTCCTCTACTTCTATAAGGAAATTTTTCATTGCCTCTATTAGGGCTTCTATCTTCATAAATTTATTTTTAGGGTTTATCTTTCTTGCCTTCATTTGCAGTCTTACTGCTGCAGAACCACTAGTTTCTAGTGGTCTGTATTGCTCTTTATGTTGTCGAATGTATTCTTACGGTCTTGTCTACTCATCTCTTCCTCTAATCAAAGCTGGAGGGGCCTGTGGCTTAGGGGGTCGCTGTTCCTCCAGGTGCTGGTGGGGCTACAGCACAAGTGATCACTAATATGCTTGTGATGGTTGGGGTATTGGGGATGGTCAGACTTTGGCACTTTGCTAAGTGTAGGAGATGCATGGGGTTGTTCCCCTGGGGGCTATGACACGGAATGCAGGTCTGTCGAGCTGGGGCCCCAAGTCCTCACCTCCTTCACTGCAGGTGGCACCCTGAATCCAGTAGCCACTTATGCAGTGGGGGATGTTTGGGGGTGTGGGAGGTTGCTGCCATGGTTCAGGGTCTTCAGTGGGTAGGGGAGGGACATGAGATGAGGCCCCAGGGGAAGGGGTATTAGGGCCCTGACAGCATGGCTTTCCCCGACAAGAGCACAGACCCTCCCCTTTTCCAGGTACAGGTGGGGCCCTGGCTCCAGTGGTCGTAGATGAAGCACAGGATCCTTGGTGTTCCTTCAATGTATTTTATTGGCAGGACCTCACTATGTAGATCTAGCTAGTTGGAAGTAGTGGGTTTTTCTTGTTTTATGCTTTGGGTATGGTTAATTACTCTCCAGCTCCTGTCTATTCAACTATTCCACATTTAATCCTATTTCCTTTGTTCCCATGGAAAATTTTATTCTGAAATTTCTAAGTATACTTTTATTCTAATTATGTTCTGCAATGCTTCTTGACTGAATGAAGAGTGTTATTGTGTAATTTTCTTTAAATGATTTAGGGTACAGTGATGTGTTTGTTATTTTCTTGCAACCAACCATTTAAAATTACTCTTGTTTCTTCTGAATAAATTTTGACAGGATCTCTGATATTATCATGGTATTGTGCTATCATGTGTTTTGGCATTGTCCATAATTTTTATTAATTTTAGGTTTGAGATTTTGACATCTTGATGTGAAATGTCAACAGGATCTGGTCTTCATTCCTGCAGCAGAGACATAGAGAAGAACCATCAGAGAGAACGACTATCTCTTCAGTAAATGTGCCGCAGGTCAGTGTACCATCAAAATTCCACTGAAGATGGTTTTTATATTGAAACTATTCAAGATTTTAATTCTTTGCCTCTGGTAATGTCATCTAAAGTATTTATTTCTTACAAGTTTTTTCTTCCCTAATAATCCATTTGTATTTTTCACAGACTTAAAAACTGCAATTTTCAAAGAGATTCCCAAATAAATGGTTATCCAAGAAATATTTTGATACACAGTTCCTATATATCCTGAGGGAAAAGATCTTCTAAAGTGCCATTCTCTTTGGGAATAATTTTCTTTCAAATAACCACATTGCACTCCATCACTCCTGAAGACTTGTAGCAATATCATAATGCAAAAAATCATTCAGTCCAATTTCAAAAATTTCAAAGTCTACAATAGCTGCAAGTTTATTTAAAGTACTAAAGTTGTCGAGTTTCTTTTGAGGTTCAAACAGTCTTAAACCTCAAAATATAATGCCCTGTAAAATGAAACTCAAAAAGCCTATCACATATTTCAGCATATAATGGTAAAGAATATACATTACCATTCAAATAAATAGGGAAGGGAGCATAGTGAGGAAAGATATGGCCAAAGCTTATTGTAAAAGGGCTCGGCAAGCTCAACTCTGCATCCCCATGTCTGATTTCAAAGCTCCTCAGATCTCCAACTCCTTTCAGCTTGGTTGACTGCAAGACCCTTCTCTCTCTAGGCCAGGTTCTCTTCACCCCTTCACAGAGATTCCGTGGTTCTGTCAGCTCCAGCTCTTGGGATTTGGAAGGCAATCCCGGCTTCACTTGCACAGCTTCAAAGAGTGGACTCTTGTGTCTCCATTCCGGGACACAGCTGACACAAGCCTGAGCTCACAAATTATGGAGGAAAACTTGATAACAAAACCATAACCATGAGCTCAAATTACAAACTTCTGCTGCTTCTTGAGACTGGAATATGTCACCCTTGCTCAATTGCACTTTCACAAGTTTTCTGTGTTTTTCATGGGTTCCTTCATTGTTTTATCTTGGCTGTCATGGAACTCAATCTGTAGACCAGGCTGGGCTCGAACATAGAGGTCCGTTTCCCTTTGTCACAGGAGTTCTGGGATTAAAGGCATCTGCCACCATATGTGGCTCGAAATTGTACTTTAGTTCCTTCTCACAAATTGGAAACACCTTGGTGGGATCTTGTCTCCAGGTCATCACAAACTTTATTACATTTCCTAGTGTGTGTCTCCTTGTACACAATACTTTGCTCCATTATACTTCCTGATTTTCCTTTTCTCTCTATATTATACATATTTTATTTATTCTTTTTCAACTTGCCTTTTTTCAGTATACAATTTCATTAGGGACAACACTAGTTAATCCTAAAATAACAAATCTACAAAAGGCTGTTTTGAAATTTTCTTAAATGATGCAATTCTACATGGGAAGACTTTTTTGGAGAAGGTAAAAAAGCAGCTACATTCTTTAAACTATCACACGAATTATTTCTAGTCAAAATCTTTAATGTGTTCATCTATCATACCATTTGAGCCAGGCTCCCACAATTCAAGGCACCCTCAGCACCACTGTTGGCCAATGCTCTTCCTTTTATGACCCATTAAACTGCTTAAAGCATTGCACTTCTTTCCTAACCCAGAGAAACAAAGTCCATGTTCCTCTAAACTAAAAGCATGGTCCAGTCTATCACAATACTGCCATTCCCGGTAATAAGTGCCATCTTAGTTAACTTTTCAAATTCTGTGAAGACACACCATGACCACTAGAACTTTTATAAAGGAAAAAACTCTCAATTGAAGCTAGATTACAATTTCAGTGTTTTAATCCGTTATCATCATGGTAGAATAAATGGTAGCATTCACGCGTGCTTGGTGCTGGAGAGGGAGTTGTGACTTCTACATCTTGACCTGCAGGAAACAGGAAGTGAACAGTCTACCACACTGTGCATAACCTGATCATAGGAAGCCTAAAAGCCACCCCAGTGTTAAGACAGTTCTGCTGACAAGGCCAGAACTACTCTAACAACATCACACCACCTAATAGTGCTATTCATTTTGAGGGCCATTTCATTCAAGGCAACAAATAACAGAACTGGAAGTAGAATAAAAAGGGTATGCATAGATCTTTTACATCCAAAAACAATCTATTTCATTAGGGAAGCATTATTTTTCCAGCAGCACGTGGTAAATGGATAATTTGCCATTATAGGGTCTGAGAACATTCAGGGAGTGGATGTGCACATCTCCCTGAAGTAATGAGAATTTCTGGAGTACTATTGCAGGGATATGTGCATTGATATGATGCTCAACAATTACAGCAATCTAGCTTTGTTGTTAATAATTCTCTTCTTGAGGAATATCTGTTTCACCCACAGTGTTTACCTGCTTTGTAAACCATCTAGAGACTGTTAGAAATGAGGGAAATTCTGGTAATAAACATTTTTTTTATGTTTTGTCCATAGCACTTTTGTTTGTTCTTTGTTCTCTGAAAAGGCAACCAATACTACTTATGAAATGAAATGACTGTGTAGTCCTATTACACAGCGTTTAATGAGAACTTCAAATTTCAGTGAATGTTGAACATTCAGAGCAAGAAGTTGCATTATACTGTACTTTAATTGGAACGGATTGATACTAATATCAGTTTAATCTTTACTTATTTCTGAATTTTAAGAGATGTAGAGATTTTACATAGAGAAAAATGGTTCTGATGAACCTTTTTCTTGCTTTTGTTCATTTCATTTATGTATTTTTGAGGTGTATTCTCTATATTTAGTTCTGGCAGCAGAGAACAGCATAACTTTAGTCTTAGGCCTAAGGAGGATAAAATTAGAAGATTGTTAATTTCTTGGCCAGCCTGGATTTGCATAATGTTTTATTAGAAGAACAAATCTATAAGCTGTGGGCCTCTCTAAAACACAGTAAGGAATTTTAAAAAGTTCACATATTCTATAAATGATGCTATAGAGAGGTTTTTTTTTGGTCATGATTCATTTTTGCCCCATCATCTATTTTTCCCAACTTCTACAAGATTTTCAGTTGACATAAAAATGAGAAACTTACTACTGCTCCTCAGTGTTAGATGAGGATTGCTACTAAGATTGCATGTAACAGTCGTGGAAGACAAATAGCCTCTGCAGAGAGCTCTGTTTTCAAGAATTCCTAGGTAATTTATCTCATAGAACTTAAGGAGACATCAGTTTTTAAACATCTAAATATGCTTCAATACCCATAGGTCATATTTTTTTGTTCTCATTTTCAGAAAAAATATCACATATTGGGGAAATACATAAACATCGTGAATCGAGGATCACAGGACATCACCTACCACCGAGTGAATATCCGAGAGAAGTCTTAAACTGAATGAGACTGTCAAAATGGCCAATGGAAAGTGCTTTTATCTCTTATATCAGGCTAAAAACAATAATAAAACCAATAGTAGACAGGTACCATACAAGTGTAGTAAATGTGATAAGTGCTTTTTCCAGAAAGACCAACTTGTGACACATCAGAGAATTCATACAGAAGAGAAACGTTTCAAATGTAGTCATTGTGAGAAATACTTTATACGTCCTGATCGTCTTAGAATACACCAGAGAGCTCATACAGGAGAGAAACCTTTCAAATGTACTGAGTGCGGAAAATCCTATACAGGTCCGAATGGTCTCCGAGTACATCAGAAAACTCATAAGGCAGAGAAACCTTTCAAATGTACTGACTGTGGGAAATCCTTCACGCGTGCCTTTTGTCTTAGAGGACACCAGAGAACTCATACAGGAGAAAAACCTTACAAATGTAATAAATGTGACAAATCCTTTGCACGGGTTTCATATGTTACAAATCATAAGGTTGTTCATTCAGGAGAGAAACCTTACAAATGCAATGAATGTGAGAAATCTTTTGCACGTGTCAAAGCTCTTAAAAGTCATCAGATAATTCATACAGGAGAGAAACCTTACAAATGTAACGTATGTGAGAAATCTTTTGCACGTGACATAACTCTTAAAAAACATCAGATAATTCATACAGGAGAGAAGCCTTACAAATGTAACATATGTGAGAAATCTTTTGCACGTGACATAACTCTTAAAGGACATCAGATAATTCATACAGGAGAGAAGCCTTACAAATGTAATGTATGTGAGAAATCTTTTGCACGTAACATAACTCTTAAAGAACATCAGATAATTCATACAGGAGAGAAGCCTTACAAATGTAATGTATGTGAGAAATCTTTTGCATGTGCCTCAAATCTTAAAAAACACCAGAAAATACATACAAGAGAGAAACCTTACAAATGTAATGTATGTGAGAAATCGTTTGCACGTGACACAAGTTTTAGAGAACATCAGAGAATTCATTGACGTTTATTATTTTGAGGAATACTTTGGACAGGTTTCAATTTTTGAAAACATCAGATGCAGGAGAAAAACCTTTCAAGTCTTCGACAAGATCAGATCATTCATACAGGAGAGAATATTGTGTGTGTAGTTAACGTGGTAACGTCTCTATCTGCCTCTCACTTCTAAGAATACTTGAAAAACTTCATACTGGAGAGAAAAGTTTCCGTAGTAAATAATGTGACATGTGAGTTATTTAAATCTCTGTTTTTAGAGACCTTCATATATCCTCTCCATATAAGAGAAACTTTATGATCTTGAGATATTTATGAAATTGTTAATAATTTACTAACATTAGAAAACATCAAGTTTATGTTGAGAAAAAAATTTTAATTGTGACAATGTAGGACAATTTTTATTAAACTATTTTAGCTTTTCAACTTCAAAAATTGCATCAATCGGAATGAAAAATGAAGAAGCCTCTACACTGTGCTGTGTTGTATCAGTTCCCTGGAGACTGGAACCTTCCATCCTGAGTAGATGCTGACTAATCAGAAAATAAGCACCTCTAACTCATTTCCAGAAGACCAAAAATCTGACAAAATTCACTATTCTAAACTCTCCTGAAGAAATGGAGACGACCATGCTGGTTAGAGGAGTCTCCAACGAAGGATGCCCTGCAATCTTTAGATACTCCTGAGTGTTTGCCGTATATTCTGGGTGTCTAGCATTCATAAGCTCTTTCAAATGCAGGGTTGGAATTTCATGATGACAACTATTTTTCAGTCTGATTTGTTCCTGTAACCAACTTGCTTCTATGTTCCTTAAGGTAACCCTAATGGACATACTGATTTAAGAAGACACACTTCACTGGTACCCATTCTCAGTTCTGTTTTCATCCCACAGTTTGAGTGAGTATATGCATATGAGTTTCACATCAATTCAGGAAGTTTCTATCAAATAAAATGAGTGGACTTAGTAATAGTTCCTTCCAAATTGGGATACTTCAGAAAGTTGATGTTAGAGAGAAAGCCTTGAAACGTTTACCCATGGTAGATATGTGCTTCACTGTACCTTATAAAGTCTACTCTATAGAACTTCTAAAGTGAATTGATGTTGTAAAAATTTATTGATAAAAAGGTAAAGCCTCTGAAAATTGATCCTGAAATAAACCATCTCCACAATGTTAAGAATTTACTGATATCCACTTGACAGTATTGATTATGTGAAGAATACTTACAAGTAGATCAGGAGGATGTTAACATTCTGTCCTGTAAGGTTGACAATGTTCACATGTGTATGTAGCTACAATATATTTAAGAGTGTAAAGGAAATTGTTTTCTTAGTGCTCATTTCAGAAAACTAAATGACCCTAAAGTGGAAAGTACAAAGAAATACTAAGACAAACAGATTTAGATATTATACAGTTAAGAATCAAATGCAGCATATGAAACTGTGACACATCAGTGAATGAGAATTCTTCTTTTTCAGTGACTGAAACTGTGTTTTGGAACTATGTTTGTATTGTTAGTATTGGATTTATTCATATGTCAGAATAGTTGTATAGTTAACCTATGTAGAAACCACTTTTAGTTTTTGATCTTTGATTGTATTGATTATAGCTTTTAATTCTCAGGGTTTTTTTTTTCTTTATTCTCCTTTGAAATATCAATAGTGGCCCTTACTATAGAATTTGTATTTCTTTAATTTTTATAATTTTTAAATGGTTTCCACTGAAATAGATTTACATAACATCTCCCCTCACCTTCCTCTCTGCACCTCTCATATACCATCCCTTAATCCTAATTCATGTCCCCTCTATACTGAAGTTGATAGAATTTTTTTCTATCAATTTATTTAAAATGTTTTACTGCAAGTCTGATTTTTGCCAGTTGCATATATATGGTATCAAGAAGACAAGTCTGTTTTTACTGGAAAAACCATGTAAAAAGGCTCATCACTGTGAGATGCTAATTGTTGGAAACCATGTAAGGAACAACAAGCAACCTTGGAACTCAAACACAGACTGGCAGCTAGAAAACAATGCCAACAGAGCATGGAGAGACAGATCACTGAGGATATGTGTCCTACTGACCTGTTGTACATCTGAGCATCATCTGAGCTGTATGAAAAACTCTAAGGGTGTGTCATGCCTCTCATTGAATAGTATTACTGGTACTTAAAAATTATTGAATGATTCAACCACCACTCTTAGAACTGAAGACATGTAGATTGTTAATATAGTTATGTTGCTTTTATTAATGACTTCAGTATAGAAACTACTGGGGAACAATTTAATAGTTAGAAAATGGTTTTTAAGACAGGGTTTCTCTGTAGCAATGGAGCCTGTCCTAGAACTAGCTCTTGTAGACCAGACTGGCTTTGAACTCAGATATTCGCCTTAGAACGTGATGCTTTCAGTGGTTTGATGAGAGAGGTGATTAATTGAATTACCCATTTTGCTCTCAACTTCCTGATATGACTTAATAAAATTCTGTTAATAAGTGGATATGTAACCTAAAAATTTCAAAGTGATATGGTTGGCTGCTTTACATTTATAAAAAATTAGGATTGTGATTATTTTCAGATTTTTTTGTAAGATTACCTTTTGAGATAAAATTAAAATAATTGATCTTTTCTTTGTAACAATGAAATGAAGCCTACCGGTAAAACAAAAATTGGCTAAGAATGAGACCTTGCTTACACTTTGTTAGTCTATTACAAGCTGCTTAGACATGAATGATTGTGGGTCTGTAAGAATAATTTTTTTCATTTGCAATATGTAAAACCTTGAGTCATGTCAGCAACTGAGAAATACATTATTCTATTCATTCTTTCCATTCACTTTAAGAATGGAATGTACCAACACTGCAGTGTTTACTGCTTGGAAGATTTTGCTAGGTTATATAAGCAATCAGGGAAAAATTAAATAGTGAGGGGAGAAAAATACCAGGAAAGTATTAGAAGGAAGATATCAGGAAAGAATTAGAAAGAAGTCGTCAGGGAAAACACAAAAGCAAGGCAACAGGAACTGGTAAGGGAGAATATATAGAAGAGAGACCCTGATGTGTTGCAGATGTGTGTGTCTATGCATTTCCCTTTTCAAAGTACCCAGACGATTTCAGTTCTGCTCCCTCAGATATAAATCTCTACTGTGTGATTGGCCGTCTGGGCTGCTGAAAGGTGGCCTCGCACCAGCAGCGCATTCTCCTCTAGCAAGTCAGTAGCTGCTGGTCGCGCTGGCTTTGGTGGTGGGAACATGTGAAATGGGAAAACACCCTTAATGTCCCTGAATGAAGGAATAAAAAATAAAAATGGATGAAACCATTGTGTAATATTTTTTAGTTGTAAAGAAAATAAAATTTGAAATTTACAGTTCAACGAGTGGAATTGCATTAAGTCGAATTGAATGTGGTGACCACAGCCCCAAAGAGCAGAAATCAGAATTGAATGTGGCGACCACAGCCCCAAAGAGCAGAAATCAGAATTGAATGTGGTGACCACGGCCCCAAAGAACAGAAATCAGAATTGAATGTGGTACCCACGGCCCCAAAGAACAAAAATCAGAAGTTCTCTTCCTCCTTATTTTTCTAGTTCTAAGCCTTAATGCTTGAACACATATTCTGTAGTAACTGCAAAAAACAAAAAAGTAAAAAGAATTTCTGGTGTGTCAGGTAAGAATACAGAGAGTACTAACAAGCTCTAATGATATGATCTAGGAAATGGGAGAGATGAGCTCTGTGTGGAGAGGTATTGGAAGGAAATACCAAAAAAAGACATCAGCAAGGATGTCTGTGAATCATAAGGAATTACACTATTTACCAATTCTCTCCTAAGAAACATGTAAGTCAGGGTATACATCCACATACATAATTTAAACAATGTTTTCTCATTTGTACTAACAATCTTCCACCTATGATTTAAGGGCCATCTAGCAAAAGCCACAATGTAAGTCAAAATAGATGCTTTTTTGAGTTTTTCATCATAGCTGTCCAATAGACTACAAAAAATATTACAAAGTATTGCTATTGCCGTGCTGGTCTCCAATGGAAAGTATGAAGATGCCATGAACTTGAAGGTGATGGGACTTAAGGGCTGTGAGCTTGAATTGTCCTAAACATTTCCTTCTTGAAGACAAGATTTCATAATTCCAGGTGTAATTTACAAATTAAAAGGAGGGAAGCGATAAGTCCCATCAACAACAACAACAACAAAATAACCATGGCACAACAACACCAAGGGCTTAGTAGTGGCTAACATCACTAACAGCTCAGACATTTTAAAGATGAGTACCACCATGTCTGAGGCTAGTAAGAAGCCACCCACCAGGATTTGTAAGCCTTCATTCTTGAGAGGTACATACAACCGCTTTTAAAGCAGCACAATCCCTATCTATATTGTAAAACAAAATCCTTATATCCATAGAAAACTGTATTCCATATCAAGCAAACTTCACATTGCAATTTAATAGGAGACCATTAAATAAATACAAAGCTAATGAAAATGTAGAATTTTTGAAACCAATCCAATCAACTACCAATCAACTCCCACAGCTGGTGCGCAGGGACATTGCAGAAATTGTAGAGAGATTGTAAGAAACAGTAGCCGGAAGATTGCTGTGATATTGTTCCTTTTAGTAATTTGAAAGCGGCATCCATATAGTCCGATTAAATACTGGGTAAATGTGATGTGAAGAAAGGAAACAACAAAAGCTATGCCCAGGTGGACTAGGAAGACAAGGAGACCTCGTCTCTTCAAAAACAACTGAGTTACTTTTTCCAAATCTTTTGTTTCCAATAAGAAAATTAAGAAATAATTTCTCACAGAGAAAGCTACTCCGATTAGTCACCCTATAGTGAAGAGACTAAGCCCTGAAATTATTCATACAATAAATATGACAAATGTTTTGTGTCCAAGAAGCAAATTAAGAAATAATCTCTCAAATGGAAAGTCACTCCCATTAGTCAATCCAGTATGATGATTAAGCCTGGAAAATATACATATAAAAAACGTTACATAAATTCAATTGCCCATATTTAGGAGTATGTAAGTATATTTATGGATTTACATGTAGCACAAATTACTGATAAACAGCCAATAAATTTTAAATAGATGAAAGATAAAAAGTGCAGTTTGGAGTGAATTAAGGGAATGAATAAATGATACATAATTTCAAAAAATGAAAAATAAAATTTTTTAAAAAACAATTTTCAAAAACCTTTAGATAGAAAAAGGAATTAACTTATAGCCATCTTATCCCCCACCCACGTACAGCTGAAGCCCTGCACTGAGTGTGGCAGCCATGTCTTCAGATGATTTGCATATTGAAGTTTTCTAGTTATATCTGGATCAAATCAAATGATCTTATCCTACTTCTATTGCATCAAGTAGAAACAGATTTCCAGATGGAAATGATCAGAATTAGTGCTTAACGACTTGATGAGCCACTGCGAAGACACGAATCCCTATGATTTGTCCCAAGAAGAGCATGGACTTCACGTTCCAGTTAATGATTTTCCTCCTGTGTGTTTTCAGTCCTGTTCACTAGAAGTTAGACAACACATAGCGGCCTGATCTCCAGTGACTCCTGGTCCTTTTTTCAGCCGTCCTACGTGCCTCCATCTATTCACAGAGAGGTGCTGTCTTGTGAAATTCGTCCCTTACATATTTGGCCATCAGCGAGAGTCGTCATTATGAAGGTCTTGTTTAGGCAGCAATTTTGTTGGAAATTCAGGAGTTATTGAAAGCAAGAGAAATGGAGTGGAGAGATATTTAGGCATTTCAGCATGTATGCTGCTCTTCCAGATGGAACTGCTGAGCTGTGGCCAGTACATACATGAGATAGACAGGCTCGTGGACCTCTGGCCTGTGGAGGCAACTGCACTCATTTTAACACACAGCAAGGCTGCATACCCACAAAGACACAAGCACAGATACACAATAATAAAAATAAAAGAAATCTTAAAAATGACCATTACTTCAGAGGTCCTCAAGCTGTGGTCATAATCCTTGTGGGGGTCAAATGACTTTCCCAGTGGTCTCATATCACACACCCAGAACACCATATATTTACATGGCCAGCTGTACAGTTGTGCCCTTGCTAATTCTATGACCAACTGTGTGTCCGTGTGTGAGGAAGATTAATGAGGTTTTGAAATAACCCTGCTTCATGTTTCATCTAGTCACTAAGTGGATTCATCAATCAAAGCTTCTTTAGATGAAGATTTACTGTTAGGTCTATTAATATTGAATGATTATAAATTTATGGTATTTTCTTTCACTGGCTGGGAGTAATTCCTCAATTTGATATATATTCAAATATATTCATCCAATTCTTTAAGAAGAGATAACGGCAAACACAGTACTGTCAATGCACATAAAGTGTCATTTCCAGTATTTGAAGTGAAATTTAAACTCCACGGGACTGGAAGGACTGGATGTTTGACTTTTGGAAGTAAGTTTTCAGTCAATTCACTGTCTGTTTAATATGAAATCAACTCAAACCTCAAAGCCTAACTTTGAAGCATGTAATTTTTAATCCTCCTGTACAGTACCACAGCTAACACTTTTACATGGATGTTCATTTTCATTGTCAAACTTGCCAAAAATTGTGTGAGAGCTAAATCTTTTATTTCAGTAGTTAGTGTCCAATTCCAGGACTTCACTCCATCATACTGATTTCTTAACTATCTACCACATGCCCAAGATGTAGTGTAGCTCTATTTGAATACTTTAATACCCCCTGCTCATATTTTGTTTTGTTATATATAACTCCATACGTGAAGTTTATTCCTTTAGGTAGGATATCAAAATGACCCTATAACTTTTTCCCCCAGTCGTAAATCCTAATGGTAGCTTTTGAGTCCAACTCCTAATAGTACTACCAGCATTCAAGTCAGAAACTATAGTGAAAAGAACTTAAAATTTTCTAAACTGAGTAATTGTGGAAGAACTCACACATGTGCTGTTCAAGTCCTGTCCTTTATTCTGCCTATTTTTGTCCTCCAATGTTCGTCTATGTTCTTGTTCTTTTCTTTTTCTCCCTTGCTTCAGTCATCTATTTTTCTATGTGTATCTAGATTTAAAAAAAAATTTTTACAGTCAGTTTAAGGCAATAAAAATGTTACAGTAGACACATCTCTTTGGTCATAAGACATTTCTTGGGTAAGTGACAAGGACCAAGCCATTTACCATAGTTACACAAAGTTCCCATGTTTCTGGTGTAAGATTGTGACCAAAGGCAAATGGCACTGAGCCCAGGTGAGACAAGCTGCAAGACATAGTTCTTTGTTATAGAAACTTGGCAAGCTAGGAATTGGCATGATTTTTTGACTGCTTTGGGACCATGCTTAGACGCCTGCAACTCGGATCTTGTGCATAACTAAAGCTTTTGATTTAAGATCCATTTACAGACGTCTTGTCTAGTTTGAATTTATTTTGAGGTAAATATTAGCTAATTGTGTATAGTTTGTTTTAGACTGAGGAGAAATTGAATAAAAGGAACAAAGCAGTCTTTTAAGTGTCCTACAATCTGCAGGAGACAATAGTGACACAAGCAGAATTATACAGTAATTGCTCAGCCAGCTTTTCATGGGTGACTTATCAGAACCAAGGGTTTTGGTAAAGGTTAAAGCAAAATTCAAGGCATTTTAGTGTTATTGCTTGTAAATATAGTTTTTTGCTATAGATTTTTATTATAACTGGCTCCCTTTCTGCTCCATATTTGGGAATTAGTTTCCACAGTTCAGACCTGCTTCCTATGCCTTTGGGTCTTACTGATCACATACTCCTAGCTATGTGTGAAAACTCTCTCCCACTGCCAGGCCTTTGTGCTTCTCTCCTAGTTCAACGCAGAGATCTGCCTTCCTGCAATTATCTTTATTGGCCAGCATTTGGTCAGTGCTTAGATTCCAGGAAAAAGCATCCCATTTAATATATCCCTGATATCCAAGGACACAGAATTACTACTTGCCCAAAGCAGTTGATTCATAGGTTCTCAGATAGAAGAATATTTTTGCCATGGTTTCACCCCACTTACAGATAATAAATAGAATGATCCAAATCTAATCTTCATTAAAAGATTCCTAACCCCTCATACTCACCTTCAGCTCAGCTTACTAATGACT